AATATTTTTATGAAATTCTATGTAAAATTAATTTAACTGCTTCACGAATATGGACTCTAAAAAGTGCAGTGTAGTAATGAAGTATTCGTAAGCGGCCAACGCATGTGGTAGCGCATTAAATGTCAGCGCATTACGTGTCAGCTACCTTGTGTTTATATGCAGCGACAGTCAAAAGAAACAAAATGCTGGGACTTCATTCCCCTTCTATGTATCATATTTATCCCTCAAGTTTTTCAGATTCCTTGTACATTTCCCTCACATCCATTTCTGGTAGCTTCAGCAATCCCGCTCAAGGAATTGCCATCATTTTGGAGTCATTATTATTATTATTATTATTATTGGGGGAATTGACAGTACTGAACAGGCCACTTACAATAGTTTTGGTCTGCGTCAATGTGACATTTACTTTACATTTCTAGAGAGTTGCAGGTCAGGTTACGGCATAGGGGTTTCAGATGGGTTTGTAGTTATGACGTAGCTATGATGTAGACATTCATCTGAAGCATAAATCCCCACAAAGTCCCTACACTGAAGATAAATAAAAATGATTTTACCCCCCTCATATTCATGCCTTCATATGTGTGAAACCATTCACCTGACCATTTTAAATAATAGTATGTGTCTTGTATGTAAGAAACTGAATAAAATATTCTCTAAAAGCCAAAGTGAGGTTTCTACAGACCACAAAATCTGCTATCAGTGATCGGGTGTTCAAGCATCCATCATTCCATCTTAACATGAGCTCCACTCCTGTAGTCCAATTTCACAGACCAGATATTTACCCTAAAAATTTGAAGGACCTCTCTTCAGTAGTTAACTTTAAAATCATGATACTAGAAGAACATCTAAAAACACCTGAGCAAATTTTACATTTTGTTTCAATTCTATTATATACATCGTTCCTCTGGATATATATATATATATATATTATTTATCATTATCTCTTCTGTACAATTTAAAATGAGCTTATTGTATTTAATTTTATTGTGCTATTTTACATAATATTTTGGCTGCTCACATGAAAATGTTGCAACCTATAAATACAAATACAAAATTGTTCACCTTTTCTTATAAACTTGTTCTCCTGATTAAATGAAAATGGAAAACAGACCTCATTTCTGATTTTTTTCTGCAAAAGATTTTAAACTGAGTAGGAATTGCTCTTTTTTTTAAAGAAAACACACAAGAATCCAATTAAAGAGCTTGCTTTAAATAAATACTAATCCAGCATTAACAAATTGAATTTAGCTGCACTCTAGACGCTGACAGGGAACAGGCAGAGACATAGAGTGAAAGCAGGCAGCATGAATGCAGAAGTGAAAGAAAGAAAGATGATAAGAAGATAAACGGAGGAGTGCAGGTACAATCGAACAATCTGTTCAAACAAGTAGGACGAGCTCAGGAAACATGGTAGCATAAGCAAAGAAACAATTAATCTCTGTTATACAGTTTTTTCTACCTGTTATTGTTCAGCAGATTTACAATGACCCATAACCCAGAGACCCAGCACAAAGCACTGTGTGGGCTTTCAAAGTAGGCTCCAAGAAACAACGGCTCACTCACTCTCTATGTGCTTCTGGAGGAGGCTGCTGGTTAAAAATAGTGTACCACCATCAAGTCCAATTCAAGCTGCGTCTTAAAAAAATGAAACAAGCCTCGTTTTATTTAACTCTGCAGTTTCCATCATCAAAAATCTCTCGCTTTACTCAATAGTTATGTAAAACAAAGCAGCCAAAACCTGCATATTTATGCATCATGCCACAAATGGTAACCAGTTATGGAATGACGAGAAGAACGGCATCTAAAATATGCCAGAAATTTTACAAATCATGTTCTCCAGGGGCCAATCTGTTGCCTTTACACTAAATGTTTAGCTTGATTATATGTTTAAAGCTCATAAACACTAAAACTGAAATCATTGATAACATTCCAATACTCAAAGATTTACAGCCAGGACCAACACCTCAGCATCAGAAATGAAGATCTGTTTCCTGATGTTCAATTAAAAATTATCCCAAATTGAATTTCAGATTTACATCAGTTCAAGTCTTTCTGGTTCTATCTCCAAAATAATGAGGATTTTTTCACAGTTTTGTTTGACTGCAAATTCTAGCATTCCTGGTTCTGAACAGTTTTTTAAAAAAAATTTCAAACAGGTTTTCATTGTATTTTCAAAAACTGGTGGCAGTGTTTCTAACCTGTTAGTTTAAGCTAAGCTAAACATCATAAACAACTGCTTTCCTCCATTCTACAGTGGACTGCATTCAGAGAAATAAAGGATACTTTATTTACTTACTTAGATACTTACTTTAACCGCGTAAGAACAATTCTTATTATTTGCCGTGCCCCATTACAATTTGAAATAATTCCCTCTAATGTTGTCTCTCGTTAAACGTTAACTCCCCACCAGGAAGTAGATGCTTTAATTCAAAGCACGTTTATTTTGTGTCACTGTTCAATCTGTTTAAATCAAACTGTTATTTCACACATGGTGTGGCGCGTGTGAGCAGATGTGAACACGGTAATCACACTCAGGTGCAGACTGAAGTAACCGCACTGAGAGGAGCTTGGAGGGGGTAGTCTGAGTCAGTTTCGAAAGAACTTCAGAGAAGTTTGTTATAGTGAAGAGGTCAATGCTGCAAGTTTGAGCTAAATACCTTCCTGTTGTCAAATCCCAGCATCCTGGGATGTGGGTGAGTACCATAGATATATAGAGTACACAAACTGAAACAACTAGCCATAAAATTAACCAAGTGAAGTAACTTCCCCACCTCGTACTGTAGTCCAAGAAAACTGCACTTTTCCTGCTCCCATCCCAAGTAAACAAATTAGAGGTTTGAAAATGCTATTAAGAACACTTCAAGTGACCAAGCGCGGTCATTTATGATCCCGCAGTAAATTTATATGTGCTATTGTGATGCGTTTAATTCCTACCATGAATGTTATCAGTCTACTTCTGCAATTTTTCACAATAACTTCGGAGTATTTTATAATAATTGATAAACGACATGGAGAGGATAGCATAAAGGTACTTTTTGTAACACAAACATATAATATATGCATGTTTTTCTATACTGAATGCTATGATTGTAATTTTCCACTTCTAATCGCGACAGTGAACCATGAATAACAGACATACAATAACAACACGCGCTGCAGTGGAAGCCTTGAGGCAGATGTCCAAAGAGATGATGAATTAGTATTTTAAACACAACACATCTACAAACAACATGTTTGTTAAGATTTGGTGTGACGCAGACACCTGGTAGTAAATAATAAAACTTTTTTTTTAACTCCCCTGCTAGTAATGTGTTATTGATCAAACTGTTCCTTTAATAACCACTCCATCTGTTCTTTTTTTTGGAATTAAAAATAACACGAGTACATTGCAATACATAAAACTCTCAAACATATTTTCCGTATTTTTCTTTACCACTTTTATTGAAACAAACACTAACCGCAGGTTTGTAATAAGGAGCAGCAGAGACTGCATAAATAAAGTTGCTTCTGATAATTTTTACAACTTATCTTTCAATAAAAATGATTAAAAACCATAATCAGTTAAATTAGAAAAATTTTAGACATCTTTCGTAGCAAAAAAGTATTTCTATATAAAAGGTACATCTACATAAAATATAAAAAATGTCTTTTTAGTCTCTAAAATAGCTTTGTCTCAAGAGCTAACAAGACTTGTTTGTTCTTCTTAAAGTATAATAAATACACATTTTCCATCTATCGCGTTGGATATCATATTAAAGAAATTTGACTTCACTATTGATCAAAATCATTGTAACTTCGTGCCATAATTTTGCTATTTTTGCCTATGCAGAACACTCAAAAGTTACTGAATCAGACAGGAAATGTAACCACTAATACTGTAACACCACACTGTATTATCACATCATAGTATCTCGATTTATAGTTCATCTTTCCCTGATTTTAAAGGGTGTAATGTGATGAAGCGATACTTAGAAAAAGCACTACTCCAGTGTTGACTGACCGAATGATTAACTATATTCAATGAAAAGCAGCAACTCCCACCACTACTTTTAGGTAAAACAGGCCAAAAAAGAAAGAAAATGTAGCCTGTTTGGACATCACGAGTCTCCATCCTGCGTGACTCCAATTACATTTAAATCAAACACAAAAACCAGAGGCGTGCTGCAGTGTGTGCGCGTGTGCACGTCAAAGACACACACACACACGAGAGCAGGCTGCTGCACTCAGCTCAGTGGCTACGGATGGCTGGCAAACAACAGGATAATATGCGGCAGTGAGTGACAGGCACCCCCCACCACCAAACACACCACCATCCTACTCCCCCTCCACCAGCAGCAGTAGCAGCAGCTAACCCCGCTCCCCGCCTGCTGATGGAGGGTTACAGCTCGGCTGGCTAGCTGATGTCAAAGAAGGCAAAGCGAAATTTGTAGAACGCCTCACGGCATCGGATAAAATGACTTGATATGGGTGTGTGAAGCAGAGGAAGCGGGTGGTGTCGAACAGGAAAGAGACAATGAATGGCTGAAGCTTAGCACCGATATGCGCCTCATCCTTATCCTCGGTAGTGATGGCATTCAGTAGCGCAAAGCCTCTGCTGCCCCAAAAACACACACTGCCTGACTCCCGACCATGCGCTCGGGTTTAATCCAGGTTTAGCCGACCACACACACACACACACACACACACACACACACACACACACACACACACACACACACACACACAATAACCGGGAACAGTGGGAGTACAGCTGCTACTAGCTAACGTCGCGCACGCGCCCGCGCACACACACATTAACTGTATTGTCTCCAACCGGTGTGTCTCTGTCTTTGGTTACTTCGGACAAACGTTACAAATCAAATTCAGACCCCAAACCCCGCCCGTTTTTTAACAGACCCTTTAAGCACTAAAAGGACCCCGTTAAGGTCCCATTCGAGTAAGGATAAATGATTTAAAATTACACCCACGGCCCGCTAGCTAACACAGATTCATACACTCACCGCTTTGCTGTCCCAGTTCACGACGGAGCGGAACTTCCGCTACTGGCCGCTCACAAGCAAGGGGCGGTACAGTGCGTGGAGACGTCATCATGTAACCACGCCCGCTGTGGTCCGCATACTCTTGCTTCAGTGTTTTTACTCAAAATTTTATTATTCTTATTTTAATTTAATTTTTTTCAGTTTTACATTTATATCCAAATTAGGGAGTAAATCTGAGCGATTCTATATTTTTACTTCCTCACAAATCCTCACAAATAATCCCATTAACTGCATTATTATTATTACCGTTATTGCACAAACGTCTTTTTGGAATGATTATGCTTATATTTAACACATATACTTTTTTCTGTATCCATAAAAGATATTCTAAAATGTTCCAATTTCATAAACTATGGTTTTCGATCATTTTTATAAAAAACAAAAATCACTAGTCACTAGAATAAAACATTAAAGCTCTAGATGTGTTTGAATAGCTAGTACCAGGCTGAATCTCCCTTTTATCTTCAGAGTTGCCTTAATTCTTCATGGAAAGCATTCCCAAGAGATTTATTGGCTGCATATCAATGATATGAATCTCTGTTCCACCACATCCCAAAGGTGCTTTATTTGATTGAGATCTGGTGACTATGTAGGCTGTTTGAGTACAGTGAACTCATTGTCATGCTTCAACAACGAGTTTGAGATGATTTGAGCTTTGCGACAACATGGAGCATTTTCCTTCTGGAAGAATTTCCTTCTGTATGTAAATTGCTTTTTAAAAAAATTATATATTTAATTTGCTTCTATTATAGTTTACACATGTAGAGGTTAGTTTATATTATATCGCAAGAACTGTTTATGTGCCACTTTTTTCCTTGTTGACATAAAATGAGCTCATCAGGGCATTTTGGTCATTCATACCGAGCTCACACATTCCTGTAAATGACTCCCACAGAGTGACTGAAGACTCAATTTATTTTTACTAGCACACTATTATTAAGAGTGCCATGGTGTATTTGCAGGAGGGGAAGAGTGTATAGACCATTCTTAATGGTATAAAATAGAAATTGCAAAATGGATGTGACACGTTTATTATAGAGTTGTGAAAGAAAAAGAAGAACTGGAATACTGACTGCAGCTTTATTTCCTTCCTGATTTCATAAACTTCCTTTCACTCAAACAAGCACTGTGATATTATTGTAGAGACAAATGGAAGAGAAAGAAATGTATTAGGTAAGAAAAGGCTGTGAAACACTGGTGAAACATGCCTGCGGTGACAAAAGGATCCAATAGATGGCACAAAATATCTTCCAGTTGATTAAGAACAATTTGCTGGCTTTCCAAAAGTCTTTAAAATTGTTTAAGCAACTCCAATAACTTAAAATTGGTATATGTATGTTTATTATGCATGTTAGTTAATAGGTTTTAAACCTGAAAGCCTTTTTGTGTGAGGCTAGTTTTTCAACCAAGGTGTAAACTTGGCAATCAGGACTTTAATAAAATACAAAAAACAACTTTGTTTGGTTTAATTTTCAGGTTTTAATGTTTTATTTCTGAGTTCGTGTAATGTTATTATAGAGGTGATTATCTTTCAATTGAACTGAGAAGAGCAGACTTTGAGTTTGAAATGTTTCATGCATTTATTATTCAGGTGCTTGTCAACATTAAGCCTTTATTGCCATAGAAATCAGACATAAATCTTAGCACTTCCAGACGCACATAAGCTCCACTGGTCCTTCAGACATCGGTGCTCAGTCCCGGTCGATCTCGACCACCCTGCCAGTATGCAGCGTTAAACTCATCTTTGACTTTGTGACGGTCAGAATGATGTCACTACAACCCTTAACAGCCTCCTCCTCTTCTCCCCGTCTCTCTGAGCTCTCAGGAAATGAAGTTGGTTTGCGGGATGATGCTCTCCACTTTGTGATCTGCAGGATTTGCTGTGGCCTCGTAGTTACAGATGGTCACTTCATGTCTGTGAGCCTTAAGAGGGGCAAACAGGAAGAAACAATTCACACAATGTATTAAAACTGCAGATTTAGTATTTAAAAAAAAATATATATAGATGTTAACATAACAACTCCAAAGAAACAAAGCCCCAAACTAAACCAGAACTGTGAGATGATGTAATCTGGTCCCAGAGTCTGTGCAGCAGTGATGTGTAGTTGGAGACTTGTTAGGGAGACTGTTTGCATTTCACATAACAAAATAGCAGCCAGCACAAGTTTTTCAGTTTAGAGCTACGCAGGCCTGCAGAGCTCAAAATAAAGACAGAAGTCTTTATTTTGCTTTTAGCAGCGACTTGAACAAGACTCTGTCACAGATACAAATGCTGATGAACGTTAAGTTCTCTACGGGTGACGTACGCCTAACATGATACATGGAGGACATGCAAACACAGAACTTAAGACATTAATAATTAATGTATGTGAGAGGCCGTTTGTGCCGCTTTGTTCAGACTGGTTTACCCTTTGAGCAGGAGCTAGAGTAAATAGAGACATACATACACTGCGATCTAACAAGCAGTGAGAGCTTGAGGACACTGAGATGATCAGGTAAAGTTATCCAACATTCATTTTGCATGATTACCCATGCATTTCTTTTCATACTTTCTTTTTATTGTATTTCTTTTAACATTATACGGGAGGGGGTGGGGTGTAACAACAAAACAGTACATAAAAAGAAAAATAATAACCATTACCCATGCATCTTAAGGAACAATGTGTTGTACCAACAACACAATAAAGCGGGCAAAAAGCAAAGAGCTTTAAATACTTCATGAAGTGCCTGCAAATGTTTCTCTGCCATCATCTCTCCAGTCATCTGTAAATGCTTTCAGCTGGAGTAACGTCTGCAAAAGGTGCTGATAAATTAATCATTAATTTTCAGTGATTTCCATTCGATAGTTAAATATTTAGATCTTCAGTGATGATCAGGAAGCTAAAGACACCTTTAATCTTAAAATCATCTAAAAAGAAAAAAAAAAGAAGAAGAAAAAAACCCGATGGTGCCACAGCTGAACTGATCTTTAACTTTAAGCGTGCTTTGTAACTCCTTTGATGCACACATGATGCTGTCTACCAAATAATGCATGGAGGCAACAAATATTCAGGAATAATACCAATGAGAGAGAGTGTTTTGTTTTGATAATATGAAATGTGTTTAAAGTGCTATCACAGGATCATGCCAAGTGACAGACACACAGAGACTCTGTAACGTCAGAAAGATGGCAAAGTACTCGGGAATGAATCTGCTGCCCTGAGGATAAGTGACAAAAAAAATAAATAAATCTTGTTTGCGTGTACTAATGATGTGAAGCAAACAGCCAAATCAATCATGGAAATGCCAGAATAAAACTAATGTTATCAGAACTGATTCCTGGAAACATCCACGAGTATAGATTCTCGCACATAAGATGATAAATAAGCCAAACAGCCTCATCCATAGACACTTGTATCCTGTTTCCAAGACGCATAGGTTACAACCTAGCTGTACCCGTCTGTTTATTAGGTGCACCCACCTTAATTTGATGTAATCTAATGTAATTGTCCTGCAAAGGTTCCTGCTTAGGAAAGTGTAAACATGATTATCCTGCAGGTTGTGGTTGCTGTAGATTAGTCACACAGAGGTTACCAACATTTAGTCCTCATTAAAGCTGGAACTGCGAATCTCTCAGAGGACCTTTGGGGAAAGGGTGGAAATGCAGACAACACCCTGAAGGAAGATTCTGCCTCAGTGGATTTTAGAGAACCAGCCTCACTGAGAGAGTTCGAGAAATAAACATCATGTAGTGGAAGTTTGGGTTTTTTAACACAGGTGGGGAACCCCCCCAAAAACAAACAAAAAAACTAACAGAATGGTTCCCCTACATCCGAATCTTCTTATAGTCACTGATAACAGTGGTTCAAAATTATGACTGAACCAGTGAAACATGGGCAAAAAATTAAAAAAACTAAAGCCACAGTCGTGACAAATAAACATGCTGAAATGATCCCCTATAGCACATCAGTTGATCAGAAAAGTGAAACACAGGAAGCAGCTCATCAACACTGCTTTTCTTTATTGTTGTTGGAGTTGAGACTAACCTCTGAATACTCTCCTCTGAGGCCGATGTAGTACACCCGGGTGCTCTCTGCTCCAAAGTTCTTCGAGATGTGGATGGAGAGGTGCTGAACGTTGGAAAAACGAGCGATTCTAGACACGCAGAGAGAACGAGAGAGCCTTTAGTTAAAGACAAAGACAGCAGAAATGCAAATGTACTCCAGGAAAGCCATCATGTGGTCTCAGTGTGAGAACTATGTAATATTATACAAGTCTATGAAAAGAAACTGGCAGAGTGGTGGAAACTTTAAGGATGATGGGATGAAGTAAGCGTGTTCATGACATTTATAATGAGCGTGTTAATGCTACAAAAGAACACAGACAAGCGAAAGAAATGTATCCTCTCATCTTTTAAACACTTCTTTGACCAGATTAAGTTTCACAACAAGCATCAGTCATCTTGGCTCGAACATAACGAAAGCCGTTAGACTGTCAGAGCGATAACTTCGAGTTTCAGAGAGGAAGGAAAGACCAAACCAAAATAAAACCACCACAGTCAAAATTAATGCTCATAACGGCTTTCATAGTCTTTGAAAAATGTAACTAATTTTATTTAAATTTCAATTGAACACAGGCCACCTCCCAACTGGTGTTTTTAACTGAACTTCACCTTCTATTTCTACTCTTAATTAAGTAGTTTTAAGAGGCTGGGGTGAATGTTTTCGTGCCCACACCTAACCAGAGTGAAAATGAAAGAAATCTGTGAGTGGGGAAAAGAAAATAAATAGAAAGTGTATTAGCACGCAAGCTTGTTTCTTCCACTTAAACAAACATGTTCTGCCATCCGTTCATCAATATTTTGGATTATTATCTCAAATTCTCAAGTGATTTTCTCAGTTGTTTGAGTCAGTAAGTTGAAATTTTGAAATAGTATCTCAAAATTTTGACTTACTGAAGGCAGAAAAGGCTTTTTTCAACAGCTGAAACAAGTTTCCATACATGACCGGCAATGATTGTGTGTTGAACCCAAGCAGAGCCTTCAGAGAGCTTTCCAGACTTTTCCAGC